TTGTTTGTTTGTTTGTTTGTCTCATGAACTGTTGTTTGTTTTTCTTATGAACTGTTGTTTGTTTTTCTTATGAACTGTTGTTTGTTTGTTTGTTTGTTTGTTTGTTTGTTTGTTTTTCTTATGAACTGTTGTTTGTTTGTTTGTTTGTCTCATGAACTGTTGTTTGTTTTTCTTATGAACTGTTGTTTGTTTTTCTTATGAACTGTTGTTTGTTTGTTTGTTTGTTTGTTTGTTTTTCTTATGAACTGTTGTTTGTTTGTTTGTTTGTCTCATGAACTGTTGTTTGTTTTTCTTATGAACTGTTTGTTTTTCTTATGAACTGTTGTTTGTTTGTTTGTTTGTCTCATGAACTGTTGTTTGTTTTTCTTATGAACTGTTTGTTTTTCTTATGAACTGTTTGTTTGTCTCATGAACTGTTGTTTGTTTGTTTGTTTGTTTGTTTGTTTGTTTGTTTGTTTGTCTGTCTCATGAACTGTTGTGTGTTTTCAGACGGAACCAGTCCAGACCTCTGCAGACTGTCCCTCCTCTTCCAGCTCCTCCAGCACCTCCCCACCTGACCTGGACCTCCTGAAGGAGTCCTCTGAGTGTTTTACCTGTTGGCTCCAGCAGGTGGCAGCACTCTGACGGTAACCTGAAACACAACCAGCCGTTCCTATTGGCTGCTTCAGTTTTAGGCCCCGCCCTAAATCATATCTGGGAAGAACAAAAAACACACTCATCTAACGACACTTTAACAAATCTAGAATTAGGACAAAATATTTAAAATCCCTCCCAAATATGAAGAAGTAAATTTTAAAATATAATATTTGTCTCAGATTATTTAATAAAAGATATTTAAATCTGTAAAAACATGTAGAAACAGTTTTAAGAAGAGATTATTCTTAATCCAGTTCAGTTTGTTCTTCAGCATATAAATAATGTCCTCGTTGTAACAAATAAGTGTTGATTTGTAAAATGCTCTGAAAAAAAAACTCAGTTTAATCAGGACTAATCTTTAATTGGTCCTGATGGTTCTGTTTTGTTGTTTATTTCCTGTTTTTGTTGTTAAAAATGTGAATAAGAAAAAGGTTCATGTTTACAGGAGCTGTGCTCTAAAGCTAAGTTACTCATTTTTGGATCTGAGAAAATCAAAGTTTTTATTTATGTTGTTGTTTATTCAGTAAGAAAAGAAGCCCCGCCCCCTTCACCCTCACAGCTTTCCGTAGAAATTCATTTCTCCAACAGCTGTAATTATTCAGTCAGGTCATGTGATGGGATGATTGTGTGTGAAGTAGGCGGGGCTTAAAGCTCCACCTCAGACTCCTGCTGGGTTCTGGTTCTGGAACACTTGCTCTGTGTCTGTGGTCTGGACCTGGTTCTGACCCGACAGAGGCCCAGAAATCAGAGCTGGAGCTCAAACTGAATGATATCAGCACAACTTTTTGTTTGTTTATTAGAACTCGTGGGGTAAAGTCAGTTTTTGCACATTAAAAGTCATGCTGGGATTTATAAATCATGACAAAATAACATTTTATATTTTTATTTTCTCATTTATAAGAATTTATGTTCTGTACTGATAAAAAAATGTCACATTTTAAATAAAGTTCTATATTTATAATCTAAATCTCTGTGTTTTTTACATGTTTACTTTGGGTTGTAGTTTTCAGTCTGAACACCAGGCGGCGCTGTTTAAACTTAATATAAAAAAATAATCCAATAAAAATGAAACGAAAGTGAAAATCAAAATTAAATCTACTGTTTAAAAACTGATTTTTAAAAATGTTTATTGTATTTAAATTAATTTCTTGCTCATTTTATTTTTAAATAAACTGTTTACATAATAAAAAGAAATATTTTTTGTTCCGTCCTCTCAGAACAGTTCTTGTTCGGTCCGGTCTGAAGCTAGTTCTGACCCAGGTACACCTGGTTCTGTGCCAGGTTGTAGGTCTCTTCTGGACTCATGTGTTCAGTCTCGATGAGACCTCCATCAGGATCCATGTAGGCCAGGTTCTGCTCTCCGTAGACACCGTCGGGGGCGGAGCCTGGGTGGGCGTCGTCCTCAGCTACCAGCTGATTGGTTCGTTTAAACGCAACTTTTTCCCCGAACATCTGGAACAGCTTCACCGCGATGGAAGCCAGCGCCACCTGCAGAGAAACGTGACCGGATCAGTCATTTCAGCTCAGCGCCCCCGTGAGGCCGCCGAGGGAACTACAACCAACACATTAAAGTTCAGAATAGAAAACAAAATAAAGACAAAAGTTTAATTTTATTTACCTGCAGTAAAATGAGGCAGACGTCCATCATGATGATTGTCAGGATGTTCTGCCACAACCAATCAATGAGCGTCTGACTGCAGCCCTTACAGCAAACAAACAAACCAATAAACTTAAACAAATAAACAAACAAATTAAACAGACAAAAAACTTAAATAAAAAAAGAAACAGACAAACATTTAAACAAATAAACATACACAAACAAATAAACAAACTAAACAAATAAGTAAATAAATTAAAAAATATATAACAAATGAACAAACTTAAATGACAAATATACACACAAACAGACAAATACACTTAAATATACTTAATAAAACTGACAAATAAACTTAAATAAATAAATATACACATAAACAAATAAACTTAAACATAAACACAAACAAAAAACAAACAAATAAATATACAAATATTAAAAACCATCTTTGTGTGGAGGCTGTACAGTGGTGCAGTGGTTGGAGCTGTCGCCTCACAGTGAGAAAGTCACAGGTTCAACTCCTGGTCTGTTGTTTGATCTCTCTGTGGGTTTTTCTGGTTCATTTCACAGAGAAACACACCTGTTTTGGTTCTTTAGTGGCTCTAAACTGTCCCTCAGTGAGGTTTGTCTCTGTGTCCCTGTGATGGACTGAGACATGTCCATGTGTCCCTCTGATGGACTGAGACATGTCCATGTGTCCCTCTGATGGACTGAGACATGTCCAGGTGTCCCTGTGATGGACTGAGACATGTCCAGGTGTCTCTGTGATGGACTGAGACATGTCCAGGTGTCCCTGTGATGGACTGAGACATGTTCAGGTGGACTGAGACATGTCCAGGTGTCCCTGTGATGGACTGAGACATGTCCAGGTGTTCCTGTCTCTCACACAGTGACAGCTGGACATAGACTCCATGGATGGAGTTGTTTCCTGAAAACAAAGCAGAACTTTTTACCTTCAAAGATTCTTTAGTTTGTCCAAACTGCATCTGGGTGAAGTTGGAGTTGTTTGAACACCACAACGAGCCGAAGCTGGACGAGTTCCTCAAACAGGAACATGGAAGAACATCTGGACTCGTCAGGTTCAGACTCTTTATGAAGGAGTTGTTCAGCCAGTCTTCTGGACCGTTTCTGCCACAGCAGGCAGCCTGAGGGTCAGAGAAGAAAACTAAACCTTTGTTACGTTGACGAGAAGCAGAAACCTGATCAGAGTTCTGACAGACTCACACCACGCTGAACGCTGTCCAACAACCTGTTGACACTGTTGTCCTCTCCGTACTGAAAGATGATCTGGTCCACAGCTTGATCCAGACTCTTCTCAATCTGAACCAAACAAACACTTTCATCCACAGAAACACCTCCAAACACAGCAGGAGAGACAAACTCTGGACCACCAGGAGGACACGGTTTGAAACTTTCATCTCTTTTAATAACAATATGTCTAAATGTTAAACCCTAAATCTAACCTTAAAAATAAATCTTAAATGTTGCAGCTAAACCTTAAAGTTTATATATAAATGCTTTCAGTGTAGAACACAGCCTTTGTCATTAGTAAAGGCTTTTGTTGTCATAATCATGAAAAAGTACTGCTAACGCTGCTAACGCTGCTAATGCTGCTAACTGCAAGTTTGATGTCTTGTAGGGAAGCATCAACATTAGCACAGTTAGCAATGTTAGCTGCATTAGTTGCATTAGCAATGGCAATGTTAACTGTACCAACAGCATTAGAGTTAGCAACATTAGCAGCATCAGCAGCATTAGACTTAGCAATGTTAGCTGCATCAGCAGCATTAGAGTTAGCAACATTAGCAGCATCAGCAGCATTAGACTTAGCAATGTTAGCTGCATCAGCAGCATTAGAGTTAGCAACATTAGCAGCATCAGCAGCATTAGA